CCATCTATTCCAATTTTATGTAGAGTTTTTTGTCATGAATGGGTGTTCAACTTTGTCAAGTGCTTTCTCTGCATCTATTGACATGATCGTGTGATTTGTCTTTGGCTCTGTTAAGATAGTACCTTACATTTATTGATTTGCAGATGTTGAACCTTCCCTGCATCCCAGAGATGAATCCTATTTGATCATGATGTATACTCTTCTTAGTGATTTGCTGCATTCTGTTTGTTAATATCTTATTGAGGATTTCTGCATCTATATTCATTAGGGAGATTGGCCTGTAGTTCTCTTTTTTGGTTGAGTCCTTCTCTCATTTTGATATCAGGGCAATACTTGCTTCCAGGAATGATTTTGGGAGTATTGCTTCTCTTTCTACTTCATGGAAGAGTTTGAGGAGAACTGGCATTAGATCTTCTCTAAATTTTGTGTAGAATTGAGCAGTGAAACCATTAGGAACTGGATTTTTCTTTGTTGATAAGTTTTTAATTATATTTTCAGGGCCGGGGATTTAGCTCAGTGGTGCCGCCACCTGCCTCACAAGTGCAAGGCTCTGAGTTCAATCGTCGGCACCAAAAAACAAAACAAACAAATTATATTTTCAGTTTCATTTACTGATATTGAGAATTTACTGATATTGTATTTCATTTACTGATACTGTATTTAAAATTTTTATATCTTCATGATTCAGCTTTGGTAATTCATATATATCTAGGAATCTGTCCATTTCTTCTGTTTTTTCTGTCTTATTAGAGTATAGGTTCTTGATTGTTTTTTTGAGACAGTGTCTCACTATGTTGTTGAGACTGACCTGGAACTCACTATGTAGCCCAGGCTGGTCTCGAACTCACAGCAATCCTCCTGCCTCAGTCTCCTGAGTGCTGGGATTACAGGCATGCACCACCATGCCTGGCCAAGAGTATAAATTCTTGAAATAGACATTGATGATCTTCTGGGTTTCCACAGGATCTGTTGTGATTTCACCCTTTTCATCCCTAATTGCATGACTTTGAGTCTTTCCTTTTTTTATATAAGGTTAGCTAAGGGTTTATAGATTTTATTTAATCTTTCAAAGGACCAACTCTGTTTCATTCTTTGTATTGTTTTCTTAGTCTCAATTGTGTTAATTTCTGCTAGGATTCTTAAAATTTCCTCCCTCATATGAGCTTTGGACATGACTTGTTCTTCTTTTTCTTTAGAAGCTTGAAGTTCAACATTAGATTATTTATTTGTGTTCATTCTGTTTACCTAGTGTGAGAATGCACTGCCAAAATTTCCCTTTTAGGGCTGCTTTCGTTGTGCCCTATAAGTTGTTATATATTGTATGGGGTATCATTTAATTATAGATACTGCTTAATTTCTTCTGTGACTCATTGGTTGGTCAGAAAGGTGTTATGTAATTTTTATGTGTTTATGAGGTTTTATGGTTTCTCTTTCCATTGATTTCCAATTTTATTGAACTATGGTCAGATAATATACATGGGATAATTTCACTTCCTCTGCATTTACCTAAGTATGTTATATGGGCTAGTATGTAGTCTATTTTTGAAAACATCCCACATGCAGCTGAGAATGCATTTGTGATGTTTTGGGGTGCAACACTTTGTAGACATCTACCAAGTCCATTTGTTCACAAATTTATTTTAGTTCTGATACTTCTTTGTTGATTTTTTTGTCTAGTTGATCTAGTTGTGACAGTGGGTTATTAAGGTCCCTTATTATAATTGTGTTGGTGCTTATACATCTTTGATGTCTGTTAACATTTATTTTATATAATTGTGTGCATCAATATTTGGTGCATATATATATTTATAATTGTTATCTTTTCTTCTTAATGTTTGCCCTTAACAAGAATATAGTGATCTTTGTCTCATTTAGTCAGTCTTAGCTTGAAGTTCACATTGACTGCAAATAGAATAGCTACTCCTGCTTTTTTCTGGGTTCCTGTTGCATGGAACATTGTTTTCCATCCTTTGAGTTTCAGTCTATGAATTTCTTTTTGAGTTAAGTGTGTTTCCTGTATGCAGCATATTGTTGGATCATGTTTCTTGATCCATTCTGCCAGTCTATTTGTTTTGATTGGTGAATTGATGCCATTTATATGGATGGTTATAGCTGATATGCATTGGGTTATTCTTATCATATTGTTTCCCTGATGTTGGTTCCCTGTCTTTCCTCTCTGATTAATTACTTGCCCTGTAATGTGACTTCCTTCTATTGATGTTCTTGAAATTGTGATTTTCGTTATATCTTTTTATTTGTTTTTTTTTGGGGGGTTGGTATCAGGGATTGAACTCGGGTCCTTGCTCTTGCAAGGCAGGCTACCGAACCCCTGAGCTAAATCCCCGGCCCTCAGTATCTCTTTTTAAAATGTCCTTCAGAACATTTTGTAGAGCTGGTTTGTCAGTTATGTATTTGTTTGTCATGGAACTATTTTATTTCTCAATTAATTTTGAAAGATATTTTTGTAGGATACATCAATCTGTATTGGAGATTGTTTTCTTTTAGGGCTTAAAATACTTCACTCCAGGCTCTCCTTGTCTTAGTGGTTTGTGTGATTCTGATGGGCTTCCCCTTATAGATATTTTTTTTTCTCTAACAGCTTTTATTATCTGTTCTTGTACTGAATTTCTGGAATTTTATTATGTGTCTTGGTGTGGATTTACTCGGGTCATGACTATTTGGAGTTCTGTATGCTTCAATTTTTTGTATGTCAAATTCTTATTTCATGTTTCAGGAGTTTTCTGCTATTAGTTCCATAAACAGCTTTTGTATAGCATTTGCACTGTCTCTGGCATTGTCATGGACTCTAATCAATCTTATATTTCTTTGCATCATCTTACAATTGTTGAATGATTTTTCATGGCATCTTGCTATTTTTTAAGAAATCTTTATTTTCATGGTTGGTAACCTCAGTCCTATCTTCTAAATCTGATATTCTATCCTCACCTTGGCTTAAAGGATTGCAAATACTTTGCATGGAGTTTTTAATCTCCTGAATATCTTTTTAAACCTATTTCATGAACTCCATTTCTTATGTTGAGCATTCATGGTTTCCATTATTTTCCTAAGCTCCTCTAATTTTTCATCTGTGCCTACTCTAGCTTTATTTAGCATGTCCTTCATTTTAATTATCATTTTTTTACCTGAAAGATTATTTTCTCTATAGCCTTACCTATTTGATTTTTCACTTTTGCTGCTATCATTTCAGAAAGCTCAGGTAAGTGGCTTCTGATTTCCTCTATCTCATTGTCTCCTGGGCTTATCCTTGGTGGGCTGGAGGTCTGGGGTTGCATTTTGCTTCTGTGTCTTGTCATTTTTGAGTTTTTAAATTTTTATTTTGTTTTTTGAGTTTTTGCTTGTAGAATTCTTATAGTAGTATGGAGGCTTCTCTAGGAAATGTGTATTCTTCAGAGACGTCTTTTAGGTGTAGGTGATTCTTGGTTTCTGTGTCTATCTCAAGAGCCTACCTTCCCAATTTGTTAAGGGTACAAGGTTGCTACCTATTTAGCTTGGCACCCAGTCCTTTGGTACTGACTTATGGTGAGGGTTGTGACCCCAGACAATCACAGTGTTGTCATATAAGGGGAGAACAACTGATTGCAACAGGTATGAAGTCCTGGCTAAAGTAATACAGTTAGCAATAACAATAACATCAAGCATGGCCTAGCACCTGACAAACTGTGGTAAATGTTAGTTTGGTACCTTTAACCATATAAGCAAGCTGTACTATTATATAACAAAATCTAACATAAGCCAGGAACTTGTATGCAAGGAGTTTCCTCTTAGTAGAGTGATTTTACCCTGGAGGGGAGTTTAAGGAAGGATAGGGGACAAAACAGATAAATGAAGAGAAATATGGTAGAAGCAATTCTGGAGGGCACAGAATGAACACCCCAGCTTTGGGAGATTGAAGAAGAGGGAAGGAGAGGAAGAGTGAGGGAAAAAGCAAAAGAATATTGAAGTAAACCAGAAGGACAAAAGACAATGTTCACTCAACGTGAAAATATAAAATCAAGGGAGATAGTTGGTGAAAAAGAGAAAGAAGGAGAATAGAACAGAACAAAAATAAAGGTAAAAAATCTAAACAACCAAAAAAAATTTTTTGAAACCCAACCAGACAGATGAAGGAAAGCAAATTAAGCAAACAAAGAAATCCGAAAATTCCTCTGGTATCCACAGTTTTGTTAGTGCCCCCAAAAGAACCCAACAGAGCTTGAAAATGTGCTATCTAACTCTGGTAAGACTACAGTTAGTGCTGAGTACAGGGATGATTTTGGCCTTCAGATGTGGGGGCTGTGGCTGTTCTGCAGCCAGCCACTTTCCACATATGGCTAGGGCAGCTTGCCCAGATCTTCCCACCCAGCCGGGTTCCACAACGGTTCTCCCTGCTGTTGTGGTGCTCTCTCGTGGAAACAGTCCAAGGCTGCTTTCAGGTCGGTGCAAAATCCCTCCTAGACCTTGTTGTGGCTTGCTCAGTTCCACTCAGCTGATTAATTTCACAAGCACTGGTTGGGGGTGCACCCTTGTCCCATGACTCGCTAAGGTTCCTTGTCTACTTTTGCTGCTGGTCTAAGGACGGGGCAGAAGTGCCCCTTTCCCGATGCAAAAGTGCTTACCCTCCAGTTGGTCTCTAGCAGAGTAGGGGGACGCCTCTGGCCCTTAGTGGCTCAGGGTAATCTGGGTAGTCCTAGTTCCAGTATCGCAGCTGTGTTTCCCCAAATCTGCCGTCCAGCTGTGGGCAAACTACTCTTCCTTCCTTCCACTCCAGGGCATTGGCAGTGAAGCGCCCCTGGGGTTATTCAGATTTCAAGCCCCACGCTTTTTTAATTAAGATGTAGAACCCACCCTCTCACTGCTGCTCCTCTTGGCTGTGTGCAGACACCGCCTTCCTGCTGACTCACTTATTGCTGATTCTGGGAGGGGCCACTCAGGAAACATCTCATGTTCTCCTAGCTGCCTCAGATTACATAAAATACTTCCATTTTGCATTGTACAACAAAACTGTTTTCGCTGCTTCCCCCTACATTACAGTCTCCAGTCTGCATCGGTGAGCTGTTTCTTCTGTAGTAATGGCTCTTCTTTTCTTCTCCTCTGTCAGTTCCCTTGTGGTTCTTGTGTATCCTCCACTCCTTCTTTTTCTTCTTGAGCCTGTTGATTTCCAGACTCTGGGCAGTTTGTCGGGGAGAGACCATGTTGCTGGCACCCCTCCACATCCCCGTCTTCCTTCCCTCCAACTGACAGTTACTTTTTCTATACAGAAGCTTTTAAATTTGATGTAGTTCCACTTGTTTGTTTCTGCCTTTGTATCTTGTGCTTTTGGTTTCACACCTTAGAAATCATGCCAAGACAAATGCCATGACTTTTTGCCTCAGTACATCCTACTAGGAGTTTTATAGGTTCAGTCTTATTCTATTATCTTTAATCTATTTTGAGGATTTTGTATGTGTGTATGGGTACAATGGAAGATAGTCCCAACATTATGCCTTTCAATGGGGATATCCAGTTTTACCAAAAATGTTTGTAGACAAGACTATCCTTTCCCATTGTGTGCTTTGCTACTCCAGTCTAAAATTTCTAAGTGGCTTTACTTCTGGGCTCTTTATTCTATTCCAGTGGTCTGTGTGTCTGATTTTATGCCAGGACCAAGCCATTTTAATTATTTTGTAGTATATTTTAGTGTCATGAATTGTGTTTGCTCAAACTTCGTTCTTTCCCAAGTTGGTCGTAGCTATTAAGGAGCTTTTGTGAATCCATACAAATGTTAGGGTTGTTTTTCTATTCCTGAGGGGGGAACTGCCATCAAAACTTTGGTAAGGATTAAATTGCATCTGTGGGTCCTTTTGGATAGTATGGATGTTTCAGCAATACCAACGTCTTCCCATCTATGAACATAGGATATCTTTCCATTTATTTAAACTTTGATTTCCTTTATCACAGTTTTGTAGTTAACTTCATATAGGTCCTATTATGGCTTGTGTCTAGCTGTCCCCCCAAAGCCTCATATTGTCATAGGTGGGGCTTTCCAGAGGTAGCTGGATCTGGAGTATGTGATCCTGGGATCAAGAATGTATGATTACTAAATTACTCCACTTACCGGTTTGGCATTGTTCTGGGTAGGATTAAAGGTGCCCCACTCATGGTGTGAGTGCTACCCACCCTAAGGGCAGGTAGTCTGGATAAAATATAAGGGGCAGAAAGAGGATCACTGCCATTTATAGCTTGCTGCCTTCTGCCTGCCATGAACTGTTTCTCCTGTGTGATGGCCCTCTGCCATGCCACCCTGCCTTGGAGCCAGCCAACTATGAAATGAATCCTCTACAAACTGTGAGCTGAATAAACCTTTCTTCTTTTAACTTTGAATGCCAGGTATTTTATCCTGGCAACGAGAAAAGTAACTAAGACAGATCCTGTGCTTAATTTATTAGATTTATATCTAAGTATTTCTCCAATTTTTAGTGCTAACATAAGTAGAATTATGTTTTTAAATTTCAAATTGCAGTTGTTCATTGCTGTAAAATAGGAAATTGTTCTCTAATAGCCATGATTCACTTCTATTATAATGGGGTCCTGTTGACATGGTGTCAACATGTGGGCAGTGACCAAGAAATCTGTAATTACTAAGTCTCATTTTTTAAAGTGGGCTTGAGTCCCTGGGCTGTGACCTTCAGATGTGTTTACTAGGCTTTCATCCACTGTTGTATGAGACAGGCAAATGACAAGGGACTCAAAATGTCTAACCACTCTTTTTCTGTCAGATGAAGCTCTGCTAAAGTAGTTTCTCTTAAGGACAGGTGTTTGATACTGAGGAATTAATGCTGTAGGTACATTTTTAAATGGTTCTTTTCCCTTTCCTTCCACCTGAACCACAAGTTTTTGTTTTGTTTTGCTTTTCCTGTGATGTGAGAACCTGGTAGGGTTTCTGGAAGTAACACTCCAAAAAGTGTAGGAGACTCCTTGAGACTGAACCCTGGGAAGTTTTAACCAGCCTGGCTCAGCCTCTAGTAACTTTTATCAATTACTTTGTAAACGTTTGAGCCATTCTGGCTCCAGCAACTTCTGATCCAGATAAACTGTGATTATTTGCATTTGCCTTTCTCTAAATATTTTCAGGGTGACAGTTTGCCCCTTGGCCTCAGTTATCTGATGTATCTAAGAAAAGCTGCTGGTATTCTGTTTATCCAGCCTTCTTGTGAGGATGAGTGTGATGATTTCCAGGCTTTTTATGTATCAGAGCTGAAACCAGGTCTCCTATCCTGCACTTCTAACATTAAGCACTGCTTAAACAACTGGTTTCTTTCACTCAAAATTAAACATTTTCTGACTTAGTAATTTCCCAACTTTGTCTATGAGAGATGTAGGCCTGTAATTTTCCTTAATTGTAATGTCTTTTTTAAAGTTTTAGAAGTAGAGTCATGAGGTCTTCCAATGAATTGAGACGACTCCTTCTTTTTCTATTCTGTGGCAGAATGTTAGTACTTCACGTAAAGTTTTAAATGTTTGAATGATTACTTGGGAAGCCATTTGTGCTTAGTGTTTTCTTTGGCAGAAGGTTTTAAATTATAGATTCCATTTATTTTAAAAGTGTTAGGACCATTTGCATTTTTCTTTCTCCTTGTATTCACTTAGATAACACTTTTTAGAAGCATGTGTCCATTTTACTTAAATTTTTAATTTAACTGGCATAAAATTACTTATAACATCATCTTATGTTTCAGTATCTATAAGATATGGCATGATGTACCTTTTTTATTCATTAAGTTTATTGTTACATTTTAGTATTCTTAATAATCGCATTCATCATAGGGAATTTGTACCTGTACATGATGTATCTTAATTCCTCTTTTTACCCCACCCCCTACCCTCCCTTTAACCATTCTTGCCTTTGTTATGTACAAAAGCTTTGTTTCCATTTTTTCATTTATTTTTTCCTTCCCCTTCTTTCCTTTTCTCCTCCCACTTTCTTGTTCCCTTTCTCATGTAATCATTTTCTTCCTAATTCATAATATCTAGTATATATTTTGGTCCTTATTTACACTTTCAGTTTCTCACACCAGAGAAACAATTTGATATTTACACATGTGTGCTCCATTTATTTCATTTAAGATTATGATTTCAAACTACATCCATTTACCTAAAAATGTCTCAAGTTTTTCTTTCTTTGTGGGTAAGTAGTATTCATTATATTAAAAAAAAAAAGCTCACATCTTCTTTATCTATTCATCCACTGTTGACATTTGAGCTGTTTCCAAGATATAGCTATTACAAATTATGCTGCTGCAATGCCAGGTGTGGTGGCGCATGCCTGTAATCTCAGCACTTGGGAGGCTGACGCAGGAGGATCTCTGTGAATTCGAGACCAGCCTGGGCTACATAGTGAGTTCCAGGCCAGTCTCAACTACATAGTGAGAACCTTGTCTCAAAACACAACAACAAAAAAAATTATGCTGCTGCAAACATGGGTGTGCCTATATCACTGTGGTATGATGTTTTTAATTTTTTTGGGAAGATACTGAGAAGGGAAATAACTGAGTCAAATGGAACCTCTAGTTTTAGTTTTTTAGGAATTTCCACAGTGGTTGGACCAATCTGGACTCCCACCAACAATGGAGAAGGGTTCCTTTTTTCCCCCCATAGACCCACTAGTATTTTTTGGTTGATTTCTTGATAATTGCCATTCTTTCTGGAGTAAGTTTTATTTGCATCTCTCAAATGACCAGTAATGTTGAACATTTGTTCATATGTTTATTTGCTGTTTCCACTTTTTCATCTGAGAAGTGTCTGTTCATTTTAGATGTCCATTTTTTATTGGGTCTTTAAATTTGGAGGGTCTGATTTTTTTGAGTTCTTTATATATTTTAGATATTAGTCCTTTGTCTGAGGAACAGCTGGCAAAAATATTTTTCCACTCTGTGGATTGTCTCTTTATTGATGATTTCTTTTGCTGTGCAAAAGCTTTTAATAAGACAAGAGCTCAGTTATTGATCCTTTGTAATATTCCCCAAACAGGCGGGGTTTTGTTCATAAAATCTTGGGCTATACCTATGTCTTCAAGAGTTTTACATAGTTTCTCTTCCAACAGATCATTTTAGTGTAGATCTTTGATCCATTTTGATTATAGATTAGTGCACGGTGAGAGACATTGTTCTAGTTTTAGTCTTTAGCATGTGGGAATCTAGTTTTTCTAGCATGATTTATCAAAGAGTCTGTCTTTCTTCCAGTGAAGGCATTTGGACCCTTTGTCACAGACAAGATGGCTGAGTGCCTTTGGAGTTTTTCTGTGTGTCTTCTTATCTGTTCCATTGATCCTTAGGTCTTTTTTTTTTTTTAAATCACAGTAGCTTTGTAATACCTTTTTTTCCCCCTGATACTGGGAATTGAACTCAGGATCTCATGCTTGCCAAACACGTGCAGCACCACTGAGCTATATCCCTGGTCCTTGTAGCACCTTTTCTTTTAATACTTGCTATTGATATGCTTGATTAGCCTCTCCTAAAGTTTAATAGTTTGATTAGTGTTTATAAAACACCTATATTTCACTTGCTCAATTCTTGCTGTTTTGTGTTTGGTTTTTATTTTATTATTTTTGCTCTTTTCTGCATTATATCATTCCTTTTACTTTGTTTACATTTACTTTGTTTTTCTTCTGTCATTCAGTTTCAGTAACTGTGATTGCAGTTTGGTGGTTGCCTACTGTGGAAAAAAATATGCAGATTAAAGAACCAGGGAAAAACACAAAGCCCCTTAAAATGAAGCTTTTTGGTAAAATCCTTGCAAAGGCAATGAAGACCTCTTCTGCACCCCATTCTCTGACCTAAGGACACATTCTGCTGCTTTTGCCCCTCATGCTAACAATGTGTATGGTATGAATGAGCTACAACTCCAGGCTAATGGAGTACTCTGCTTTTTTTCCTTTTCCTTCCTTTCTTCCTTCCTTCCTTTCCTCCTTCCTTCCCTTGCTTCCTTTCTCTCTTTCTTCCTCTCTTTTTTTCATTCAGGATCTTGCTATGTTGTCCAGGTTGACAACAAACACCTTGGCTCAAGGGATCCTCCTGTCTCGGTCTCCTTAGTAGCTGAGACTACAGGCTCGTGTCACCATCCCCACCCACATTCTGTTTCATATATTCATTAGATGGTCATGATTATCTGGCCTCTGGTTGTCGAATTATCCTCTCCCTATATATAAAAGTGTTTTCATAGTTCAAACTTTCCAGAATCATTTTCTCCCATTCATTTTCAGTTTCACATCTCGGGGAACTTTCTTCCGTAACTGACTTTCAAATCAGTGGCATTTGACACACCCCTGACTCCTAGTGGCTGATATAGTCCTTTCAGGACTAGATTTTTATCCACTTGTGGGACATTCTGTGGTGGCTTCCATAGGTGAGTGAGTAGCCTAACTCCATTCCAATGCATTGTTATGTTGATATCCTCCCCTTGCATATTCACAGCATATCACACATATAAAACATGTTCAGTGGGTATTAACTCCCAAAGAAGCAACAGGTTAAGAAATGAACTCTCATGATCTTGGGGAAAGATCATATGGCGGGTCACACAAATGCGGAGGGGTTGGAGGAGAAGAAAAGGACTAAGATGGGAAAGAAACAGTAAGCTTGGAGAGGTGCTAAAAGTAGAGATGTAGAAACACACTGTTGAAGGGCTGGAGAGGCAAAGAGAGTTCTAGAAGCCTTCTGGACCTTACAGTCCTTCAGAAAAGGGCTGGGAAAAGAAGCTATTGCTTAAGAGAACACAATGACTCTACCATTTCTTCCACCCACTTCATTTGTCAAGCTCTTGCTGCTTGATATGGGGTGGGAGAATGCAGTTTTGAGCCAACACCATGTCCTGTGGAAAGGAAAACTGCCCTTTTTGGGAGGCTGATGACATCAAAGGCCAGAGTTCAAGACTCAGGGATCTTTAGGTGCTCAGAAACTTGCAGAATCAATTATTGGGATCTCTAACAGGTTGTGGCAAGGGCTGGGTGTTCTTTGTCCAGTAAAAGTCTGGATCATGCTACTGAGAGTAGTCTGAATGATTTAATCATGCAATTGGAAATTTCATACATGCCATTATTGCTACATAAATGCTATACTGATGATTCATTATTGATTCTAGGATTGTAAAAATTCTCTCCCTAGGATCTTAATCACGTGCCAGATGTCTAATAAACAATTCGAGGATTACAAAAGCTTATCCATCACACAAGTCAAATGGTACAAGATTGTGGTTATGGGTTTAGTTGCTGCAATTTGGGTGAGTATTCTTTTTCCTACTTAGCTTTATCCACCCACAGAACTTGTTATTTTCATCTAGGAAATTCTTCATTTTCCTGCTTACAGTCCAGAAGCAGAAGTGTTATAATGGCACAAACTCTCAGAAAGAAAATGAGAATAGAGAACCCTGGTTGTGCAAGAAATAACACCAAGAACCAACAAGTAAAATCACATCAGTTTAGCTTTTGCACAGCAAAGTAAACTACCAACAGAGCAAAGAGACAACCTATAAAATGGGAAAATTTTGCCAGCTACTCCTGGGGTGAAGGACTAATATCTAGAATATATCAAGAATTTAAAAAAAATCAAAGCTGTCAAATTTAAAGACCCAATAAAAATGGGCATCTGAAATGAGTAGATACTTCTCAGATGAAGAGGTATAAATGGCCAGTAAATATATGAAGAAATTTTCAACATTGCTGGCAATTTGAGATATGCAAATAACAAGACTGATGTTCTAGCTCACCCCAGAAAAAAAGACAAGCGTTAAGAAATTGAACAATAAAATTGAAACAAAGTCTTTGTCAATAGGGAGGGGTGGAAGGGTTGAAGGGAGGGCAGGCGAATGGGGGAAAAATAAGAACCAAGACACATCATGTAAAGGTACAAATTCCCAATGATGAACTTCAAACGTACCAATAAACTTAATGGAAAAAAAAACTGCAGTTCAAACTGCAGAACCAATCTGAAAAAGAAGAAGAAATCAAGCAATAACTAATGCTGGAGAGGCTGCCGGGGAAAAGGAATCCTTCATTGTTGGTGGAAATGTAAACTGATACTAGTACTGTGGCAGTCAGTCTGGAGATTCCTCAAAAAAACTAAAAGTAGAAATTCCATTTGACCCAGCTGTTCCTCTTCTTGGTATCTTTCCAAAAGAGCAAAAGATACCATATTACAATGATAAATGAACCTCATGCTTAAAGCAGTAGAATTCAGCAGCCTAAATATCCATCAGTAGATTAATGAACAAAGAAAATATGGTATACATACACAGTGGAGTACTGCTCTGCCATAAAGAATTATAAATTTGAGTCATTTGTAGGGAAATGTGTACACCTGGGAACATAATATTAAATGAATTAAATAACACACAGTTTTAATATCACATGGTTTCTCTTCTATGAGAAACCCAATATTTTTTTACTTTTAAAATTTTTTTGGTATTGGGGATCAAACTCGGGACTTTGCACTTAATATTTTTAAAAAGTGCAAAATAGAAGACAGACAACACTACAGACCCTAAACTATACTAATTTCCTTCCCTGGGAGGAACTGCTGAACATTTATTTTGTGACTTTGAGCCAGGTGGATACACTTCCCAGGGAGTAAGGCTGACTTAGCTTTTGCTTACCTGAGACTCAGATTTGCTGGGGAGTTGGAGAGAGCTGGAATCAGAGCCTACTCCTTTCCAGGCTCTCTCTTTAATCTGTGCTTTTGTGCAGCTTTTCCCTTTGTGATAGTCAGTCTTCTTTTGCATCTGTCCTTTGTGCAGGGAAACCTGGGACTCTCAGGTGCATAATTCCACTGCCTACTCCCTGAGGGGCTCTGGCTCTTTCTGTGTGTATACAAACTCCTCATTCTGAATCTAGGGAAAAGGGACCTCCTCTGGTTTTAGAGTCCAAGAGAAGACTTGTAAAGGGTTGGGTAATTGAGAGGTTAGGGGGTTGGAGCCAAGCCTAGGCGCCCCTCTGGTGATTAGCGAGGATGGGTGCAGGTGGTAGGGCAAAAGCCATTAAGGACTAGAAGCTGTTTGTTCTCTGTGGGATTTAGCAGAACCCAGAGACACATGGCTTCAAACACAAGATGTGTGGTGTCTGCTGAGACTCCAGACTTCAGGTAAGAGACAGCATAATGCAGGCATAGCCACCAGGCAAAAGACAGCTAAGCTTGGTGTACTGAAATCTCTGTCCCAGAAGGAAAATGAAGTGACACACACCACTGACGAGTTCCTCTTTACCCACAGGTTTTGTACTGCAGGGTTTCCTGGCCTGACAGCACCATCCCTCACCCCCCAAGGCCCCGTCCGGCACACAACTCCTCCAGCTTTCTCTCCAGGGCATTTGCCAATCTGAGTCATCTTCTGTCCTGGCCTCTGACTCCAGGAGATAGAGGGGACATTTTGGCCTCCACCAGCCCCCAGACCTCTACTTACCACCTGAGGGGTCCTGCCCAGGCCAGCTACATCCTGGGAGGTTACCTGGAGGCTGTCCTTGTGGCCAGGGACCACTGGGGCAGACCCAAGACCCATGGCGGAGATCTGTTTCGAGCACAGCTACTGGGTCCGGAATTGAAAGCAGGGGTCCCCGGGGATGTCCAGGATCTGGAGAATGGCACATACCTCTTGTCTTTTCCCTTGCTTTGGGTTGGGAGGGCCCAGGTGCAAGTGAGGCTGATCCACTCCAGCGAGGCAATTGGGGTTCTTCGGAGAATCTGGAGAGAAGAAGGGGCCACAGTCGATTTCATAGGCTATTTCCGGGGACCCACAGGATATGAAGAAAATGTGACCTGCAATGTGAACCCTCTGTTGACTGGGGAGGAAGAAGCTATCTGTTACTACAAGGATGAAGATTCTGGTGAACTCTGGTTCTGTGCCCGGCCCCTTACCCTGCCCTGTGACTCACTGGTAGGACATTCAGCTGGACATTACTGGGATGTGACAACACCACATGAAGATGCCCTGTTGGCATGGTAAGAAACCCAGAACCCACACAATTGTCACTTGGCAGTCATTCACTCATCTATTCATTGATTTATTGAGTACTAGGGATTGAATCTAAGACCTTCACACTGAACTACATCCCCAACTCTTTTTTTTTTTTTTTTTTTTAATTCTAACTTTGAGATAAAGTCTTGCTAAGTTGACCAGGCTGGGCTGGAACTTGCAATCCTCCTGCCTCAGCCTCATCATGCTCCACCACGTCCAATGGCTTTTTAGAAAAACTCCAGCAGGAGGAGCCTTACATATTAGAGGGCCCCATATGTCACAAAGATACAAAAAAAAGAAAAAAGCCTTTTATAAACTATGCCTCTATTACACAGATTGGACTGGGAGAGCTCAGAACACAGCAAAGATAATCATTCCAAGCCACAAGCCCTGAGCAACATTGCTCAGGTCCCGGAGAAACACTACTCCCAGTGTGTCCTCCAATCAGAGACCCTGACACTTGTACGAAGTAACTCTACTGATGTGTAGACATCCTTTTATATCATGACAGTGCTTTGAGTGGGAGAAGCTTTTAGGCAAGGAAAGGGTGAGTTAATTAACTTGTCAATCCTTACTCTCAGATTCTTTCTTTTTTTCTTTTTATTGAGGTTATTGGTACAACCTAGGTATACAATACAATTACATTCATCATTGGAATTCTGTACCTTTACATAATAGGTCTTGATTCTCATTTTTCCCCTTGTCCCTGCCCTCCCTTTACCCCCTCCCCTCCCCATTTACAAACACTTTATTTCCATTTTTTCAGTTTCTCATATTTTTTTCCTCTCCCTTATTACCTTTCCCCCACCCTTCCCACTTTCCCTACACCTTTAGCCCTTTACTTCCTATTTCACATTATTAATTATCTGATTAGGATCCTGTGTACTATTATAGTTTTTCACACCAAAGAAACTATTCGGTATTTTATTAAAAATAGGGAATCCTAAAATAAAACTAAAAAGGAAAGTAAAAGAGAAAAGGCAATGATGTAACATTAAAATAATCCTTAATTCTGGAGATGAAAATGGTCCCTGAACATATTTAAATTGCTTCTTGCTCCTATAGTCTTATCTTATTCTTTTTTTCATTATTTAGAGAATTCTTTACTAGTTTCTGAAATCAAACCCACATAGATATGACCTTACATATTTAGTATGATGTGTTACCCCTGTACACATGGAAAAAAAATAAATTAACATTTCTAGACCAATATGGTTGTCCATTTCTGTACAATGCCAAGTCAACACAGTAAACTGGGATGACTTTTTCCAAAGTTGGCAGCACCGTTAAAGTTTCCCAAAATTCAATTTACATATATGTGTGTGTGTGTGTGTGTGTGTGTATAAAGACTAATGATAGTATGTTATGCATCACTAGCAGCAACAGCTTTTCCAGGTTCTGCAGTCATCTGAACAAAATTATAGACATTCAGCACATTCCATTAAAAACAAAAAACAAAGAAAAGAATAATATCCAGAAAACAGCAAAGTTCTGTTGCTGTTGTGGTACCTGGCACCATTTTTTCTATTAGCCTCTTAATCATCATCTGGAAAGAGAACATTCTAGAGTAATATCATTAAATGTAGCTCTGATAAAGCACGGTCCCTACTATGTATCATAAAGCAGGTACTAGATATTTTACATTCATAGAGGTATGATACAGTACTGTCCTACATCAATAATACTAGATTCAGTTTTGGTTTGAAATTTACTTTGTCTGCAAATAAGATTGCTACCCCTGTTTTTTTCTGGGCTCCTGTCACATGGAGAATTGTTTTCTATCTTTTCACTTTCAGTCTATGGGCTTCTTTTTGCACTAGGTGTGTTTCTTGTATACAACATATTATTGGATTTTGCTTCTTATTCCATTTTGCCAGTCTATTTCTCTTGATTGGTGAGTTGAGGCCATTGACATTGCTGGTTATAACTGATATGTACTGACTTATTATTGACATGTTATTGGCCTTTTGTTGACTCTTTTTACTTTTTCACCTTCTCCTTTTAATTTCTTGCCTTGCCTATTTGATTTGCTCTGTTGGGCCTCATGGTGTTGTTGCCTTCATTGTCTTTTTCTAGGATCTTGTTTAGAATTGCTTGTAGTGCTGGTTTGGTATTCATGTAGTTTCTCAGGTGTTCTTTGTCGTGGAAGTGTCTTATTTCCCCATCCATTTTGAAAGAGAGTTTTGCTGGATACATCAGTCTAGGTTGGAGGTTGTTCTCTTTTAGTACTTGAAATATCTCATTCCAGGCTCTCCTTGCCCCAAGGGTTTGTGTTGAAAAGTCTGCTGTGATTCTGATGGGCTTTCCTTTGTATGTGATTTGTTTCTTTTCTCTTACTGCTTGTAGTATTTTGTTCTTCTGTTGGGTTTCTGGGATCTTGATTATTATATGTCTAGGTGTAGATTTTTTTTTATTGTAGCTAGTTGGGGTCCTATATGCCTCAGTTATCTGAATGTCAAATTCTTCCCCTCTGTTTGGGAAGTTTTCTGTCATTAATTCTGCAAACAGCTTTTTTAAGTCATTTGTATTTTCTCCTGCTACTTCATGTATTCCTATCAGTCTTATGTTATTCTTCTTTGCATCATCTAGGAGTTGTTGGATCGATTTCTCATGATCTCTTACTGTTTTTAAGAGACCTCTCTTTTCATGGTCACTGACTGCAATCTTATCTTCTATATCTGAGAGCCTATCTTCGCATTCTTTTATTCTGTTGCGTACACTTTCAATAGAGTGTTTAATCTCCTGGATATCTGTTTGAATCTGTTTTATGGATTCCATTTCTTTCCTATGTTGGGCGTTTATTTTTTCCATTTCTTTCTTATGCTGGGCCTTCATGGCTTCTATCATGGTCCTGAGCTCATCTATTTTTTTGTCAGTTTCTGCTCTAGAGTCTCGAATCACGACTTCCATTTTGCTCACTATCTCTATGGTTATCTGGGAAATTATTTCTGTTTTGAATTTTTCTAGAGCCTGATTGATCTGTTTTGTTACTTCCTGTGCTTTGAGTTCAGGGTGTCCTGGTGGTTCACTATCGGCCTTTTCATCCTCATTTGCCCTACTGTTTGCCATTGGTGAACTGGAAGTCTGTCCTTGTGTCTTGCTTAAGTGTTTTCTCATTTTAATTTTTGTTGTCGGACTGTCCTTGGTTTAATCTCTGGATTATCACCCAAATCTTCCTGATATAGTTGCACCCTAGCTTCTGTGTCTCTAACGACCCACAGACATTCTCATCTTCATAACATCAGAGAAAACAGCTCATCAAATCAACGGCAATGCTTTACCCCAACTGATACAATCAGCAACACATTAAGATCAAGCACAACTTGGACACTGACCACCTGTGGTAGTCACTAGTCTATCACCCTTAAATCATTTGAATTAAATTGAAATCAAGAAGCAGTCCAGAACATGTCTGCAGTGAACAAACTTTTCAATATAGTATATTTACCATTTAATGGCTCAGACAGAGCAAGGATGCAAGACCCCTGATCTCAGTTAGCTGATTGCTGAACCCCATGACGCTGACTGACCTTGGGCTGCAAGGCCCAGATTGAGTTCCCCATCCTTCTGAATGGTTGAACTCCGCAATGTTTTATTACACGTTTCCCACGCCCTTTCTTTAAAGATGTTCAAAGTTGGGAACTCAGAAAAATACCCTTGATGACCACCTCTGTCTTTGCAGAGTGGGTTCAAAGACTTGCACAGTCAGGAGGTCTGAGAGTGCGGGGGGGGGCTTATGGGGGTTTGGGGGCGCCCGCACGGCTACCTTCCTGGCGCTTGAGCGATGGCGGCTGGGTTGGGAGCAGGCGTGGTTCTTCTCACTCTGAGATTCTTAAATAAGGAAGACTCATTTCCCAGGAAAGAGAGGGAAAGAAACCTGGTTTCATGAAAGACATAACCCCAGCCCCTGACTGCTGGTCTCTGATTTTTCTGACTGAACTCCTACGCTCAGCATGCATCTCATTCATCTCTTCATATGTATCAAATGCTTTCTGAGCACTTAATATACATGTCAGATAGTATGGTTTCATCTAAAATGGACCCAAGAGTCTCACGTGCTTGGAAGGTGATTGGATTATGAGTGCTGTACTCATCAGTGAGTCATACAATGAGTGCAGCAGCTGCAGTAGGAGGTGGGGCCTGGTTGGAGGTGGGTGGGAGGGGTGCAATTTGGAAAGGTGTGCTCTCATCCTAGCTCTGCCTTTCTCTCTCTCTGCCTTCTGGCTGCCACAGATTGAGCACCTTTTCCTCTGCTATGCCCCTCTGCCACCCCCTTTCTCTCTTGGAGTTAGCTGACTGGACTGAAACCATGAACCGAAATAAACCTTTCTTTCTTTTTTCTTTTTTTGTTTTGTTTTGGTTTTTTGAGATAGGTTCTTACTTTGTAGGTGAGACTGAGCTGGAACTCACTATGTAGCCCAGGCTGCTCTTGAACTTGCCAAGATGCTCCTGCCTCAGCCTCTCGAGTGCTGGGATTACAGGCATGCGCCATCACACCTGGCCTTCTCTTTCTTTTTTGTACCAGGGATTGAACTCAGGGCCTTGTATTTGAAAGGCAGGCACAGTACCACTGGGCTAAATCCTGGCCCAAACCTCTCCTTTTTTGTGGGTGTTGGTATTGTGTCTCAGTGATAGGATAGTGACTGAGATATTGGGGCTCATGCTAGGTACTAGCTATACATAATGGTGCTCCTGCTTTCTTCAAGTTTTCATGGAGGCACATGGCTTTGTAAAACATTCAGTGTAATGTTTTACACTGGTCAATAGAAAATAAATCTGTGATTCAATGCAAAGCCTCTCAGCATGTCATGTGAAGCTAAAGCCCAGGATGTGTGGAGCTAGATTGTTTGGGCTGAAGCTCCCGTGGTGCTGTTTGTCAGTTGCTATTTATGTCATCTCTGATTAATTAAGTTTAATTAATTTAACCTTTCTGTACTTCAGGGCTTTATTTTTCTCTTCTCATTTCTGAAAGAAGATGATAACAGTACCCATGTGGTAGCGTTGTGGTGGAAAACAAATGAGTTAATGTATGTAAAGTGCTTAGCACAGAATGGCACAGGGTGGGCTTTGTTAGCTTTTCTTTCTTTTTTTTTTTTTTTTTTTGGTTTTTTGAGACAAAGTCTCACTATGTAGTTGAGTCTGACCTGGAACTCACTATGTAGCCCAGGCTGGTCTCGAACTCCCAGCGATCCTCCTGCCTCAGTCTCCCTAGTGCTGGGATTACAGGCGTGCTCCACCACGCCAGGCAGCTTTTCTGATTTTAGCCAGGTTGCATCGAGCCCCTCCCTTCGCTGTTCAGGGCTCTGTCCGTGGTTCTGGAGGCACCGCCACTGGGAAAAGGCAGGGAAGTGGCCCAGTTCCAAGGCAGCTAATAGGCAGTAAACAGGCAACCAACTGCACGTGTGGTGAGTGTGTCCTGGACATGAATTTGTGATCCCAAGCCAGGTGTTTTCTTCACATCTACTGTAATCCAAGTCTGAAGACCTCTGCAGCTAAGCAAGTGGCAAACAGAAAGCTTGCCTATATACAGCCTGCAAAGGAACCCACCTCAACCATCAGGAATCTTTCCTTAGTTCTCTGCCACACTGGTCACCTTAGAATCATAGCCTGTGTGGTTTTGGGGGCTCTAGGTGGATAGGCACCTCCGCATGGATCTCTTAAGCTTCCATAATAAAAGAGGAAAGGATGGTAGACATTAAGAATAACAAGTAAATTATATAGAATACTAAGAGATGTATGACATAGAAAACTTAAAAATATAAAGGGGGATCCAGGTGTGCTGGTATACATCTATAATCCCAGCACTCTGAGAGGCTGAGGCAGGATTTAAAGTTTGGTCCCAACCTGGGCAACTGTCAGGAAAAAAAATTGCTGGGGATGTAGTTTGGAGCGAGGCTCCGGAAAAATATATATGAGAATACATATGATTATATATGAAAATATATATGATTATACATGATTATGAGAGGGAGAGAGAGACAGGGAGAGAGAGACAGACAGACTCTGGGTGTGAAGGTGCACTCCAACACTGAGAGGCAGAGACAGGAGGACTGCAAATTCCAACACAGCCAGAGCAAATCAGTGACTCAGTAAGGCTGTGTCTCAAAATTTTAAAAAGAAAGTTTTACAGGCTGAGGATGTAGCTCAAAGCAAAGACCCTGTGTTCAATCCCCAGTACTGGGACCAAAAAAAAGGAGGAAACATTAGGAATGAGTTTGATAGGGGCAGGTTAAAGAAGACTGAAAGGTTGGAGAAATGAGATGCCTTGGGCTCAAACTGCGGTGATATAGGTATATGTAAAGTGAACCATTTGTAGATATATTCTAAAGACATAGGCCACTGAATTACCTGAGGGACAGAAAGCAGAATGTGCCAGAGTGAGAGAAGGGAGAAGAGAGAAAGAGGAAGGGAGGGAGAGAATGACTCAGGAAGGGTGAGGGGGAGAGAGAGAGAGAGAGAGAGAGAGAGAGAGAGAGGGATTTAGAACTTACAGATGGTTGCATCTGTCTACCTGGAAGGATGGAGTTGCCATTAGCCAAAACGGGGCAAGGTATAGGTGAGGCAGGTGGGGGTGGAGATGAGGAGTCTAGGTTTAATCATGTGTATTAGATGTGCCGAGATGCTGAGCAGACATTTAGGTACAAAAATCTGGAATTAGGGTAAAGAAAAAATAAAAGGAAATAATGGAAACAAAGCCTTTGTAAATAGGGACGGGTGGAAGGGGTGAAAGGAGGGCAAAAAATAAGAATCAAGAGGGCTGGGGATATTTAGCCTAGTGGTTCTGCTGTCTGCCTAGCAAGCGCAAGTTCTCAAGTTCAGGCCCACAAAAAAAAATCACAACACCAAAAAAAAAAAAAAAAAAAAAAAAAAAAGAACCAAGATACATCATGTAAAGGTACAAGATGGCAATGATAAATGTAACAGAATTGTATACCTAAAATGTACCAATAAACTTAATGGAAAAATATCTGGAATTAAGCAGAGAAGGCTGAACTAGAGAGACAAATGTGGAAGATAAAGTTAGGAGACTGAGTGAAACCACCAAAGGAACAAATGTAATTTAAAAGGAGGAACAAGGACTGAACCTGTGTGCTCCAAATAAAGGGGAGGAGACATTTGAAAAAAAGCAACCAAGAGAGTGAAATGGAGATGTAGGAGACTCAAATGGAGTGGACTGAGTGAGTGAGATCAAGAGGAGAGTTAAGACTTCTTACAAAAGGCTCCAGGCATCTTTTTTCTATTCTGTGTATTTGTTGTTGTTGTTGTTGTTGTTGTATAGAGACAGGGTCTGGCTATGTAGTTCAGGCTTCCCTTGAACTCACTGTGCAGCTCAGGCTGGCTTCAAACTCATAGTAATCCTCCTGCCTTGGCCTCCCAAGTGCTGGGATTACAGGTGTGCACTACTAAACCCAGCTGTGTTTTTCTTTTCTATCTTTCCTAATGCTTTGAAATCCTGGGGCCTTGTAGACCTGGGAGGAAATGCCTCTCCCAAGGTTAGCTAAGTCCTAGAAGTAGCAAATAACTTGCCTTAGAGCACGTCTTTGTCATGCCACCTAGTCCTGAATCCATACCACCACCCACCTCCTTTATCAGGCTCTTGCAGCCCTGCACAGCACCTCTCTGCTTTAAATCACCCTGAGACTGGGATGCCTTATAACTAAAGGACACCTCTTTTAGACCAGCCCACTAAAATTATTCAAACTAGCCAATCTTAGACCTTCTTAGCTGCTTACCCTGTCTCTCCTGGAGAAGGCTGTAATAAAGACTTTGCCCATTCTTTTTCCCCTGCTCCTTCTGCCTCCTGCCTGTCCCCAGTGCTCTGCTCTCTTGCCCTGTTTGCTGTGCACTGCCCCTTCCTCTTGGGAACTGTGAATCACAAACTCAACTCTTTTCAATAAGAATTACCTTCTGAACTGTTGACCTCACCTAACTAAATAAACCTAAGTCCTTGCTATGCAATGAAGGCTGGCCTTGAACTCACTGTATCACCCAGGTTGGCCTCACATTCACGACAATCCTCCTGCCTCAGCCTCCCACGTGCTGAGATTACAGTTGTGTGCCACCACACTTGGCTTCCTGGATATATCTGTAAACAATTCTGCTTAGATGGGTGCTTCAACAATAGCTTCCCAACCCCTCTCCTGCTCCCAAGTCCTGTCTTCAAGGTTCTTGATGCTAGAAAAGAAACCTTTGAGTTTGAGAACCTCCTTTCTTCCAAGAACCCCTATTTTGCCTTAGTCTTGAGAGTTCTTCTCACATACCTCCAGTTTCACCAATTGGTTTCTCTTTAGGAATGTGACAGACAAAGTCCTCCCTCAGGGTATTGGCATAGTCCGAGTATCTCAGGAAAGGAACAGGAAGCTGGGTAAGTGGCGCTGGGCCTTGAACAATGGGCAGCATTCATGTCATGGCTGAAACAGCCTCTTTTGCACCCAACGCTTGCTCTGTTGCAGTTCCATCTCCTGAAAAAACATGCTACCCTGGGATTCCAGCCCCAAAGCCCTCTGGCTTCTACCACCTAAACGTGTGGCACTCTCTGGCCTGCTCCAGCCGCTCCTTCCCCACTGCTAACAGCATCCTGGGCTGCCTGGCCAGCCGCATCGTCCACATGATGGGGGACTCCACGCTTCGGCAGTGGTGGGAGTATCTGCGTGACACTGTGCCCTGTGAGTATTGGGAGTATTCCGCTCCCCCAGTAGAACAACTCAGAGAACAAGAGGAGAACCAGGGCTGAAAGAAGGCAGAAAATACTATCAGTGGGGTAGAATATCTGGATTTCATGACAGTAACATGAAAGGACAGGATGCCTAGATTTGGGACTCAGAAGGGCTGGAAAACAAGGAGCTCAGAGTATGCACAATCTCAACCATGCGGTATATGATTGGGAGCTCATAATTATGAGACAGCAGATGTATATACAACTGTGGCTGGAACGGAGAATTTGTTGGGGAGATACTGGAGGGATACAGTTGCAATGTAAGGGAAAATCTAGAGAAATCAAAAGTGGGGGGCGGTTAATGTTTTAAAGCAGCATTTTCATGTCATTGGGCAGATTGCACTGGGGAAAAAAAAAGAAAGTCCAAAGGCCAATTATAAGACAATGGAAAAGTGAGGCTAAGTTGGTAAAGAAATAGTGTCCGCAGTAAAGGAAGATGCTGGAGAGACAGATGGGGACTGCTGACTGGTTCGAGAATGAATGGAAGCGACTGAGTGACTGGGTAACCATAGAGTGGATTCAAACGGAGTCACTGCTGTTGGATTGGAGTAAGGGCCCAGGAATGGAAGAAGACAGTGTATCTCCTTCATACCCCTCCACACCAGATTAAGAGGTGGGAAGGGGCTCCTGAGGGAATGTGTGACTGAGGTATACGAAGCCATAGGACTGAAGTTGAAATGAGATGGTTGAGCTTCACAGAGTTTTGAAATTTATTCCTTTGGGGATGAAAGATAAAGTGGTGAGAATGTCCTACAAGCCTAGTGTCACCTGAGTTTCTCTCTTTCAGACACCAGGGTTTAGGACAAATCCCACAATATGACATAGCATGGATTAATGAATGGACCTTATTGGGAAAAGGGGTAACATTAGAGCTGAGGATGAAGAAGAAAAGATGAGCACCATACGAGCTTCCTTCTCATCTGCCCTCCCATTATCCCACAGAAAGAGCAGTATGTGGGACCCACAGGGTGAATCAGTATTCTCAGAGAGGGGAAACTTCTCCCCTCCACATTGCTCTCCCTTCTTTCCTACAAGTGTGAAAAGAGCCTTATTAGGGGTTTCCCGGTGCGGAAGTCTAGAGGTGGGTGTCTGTTTACAACAGTTGTGTAAAAACACCAGCTGCTCCATGCTGGGGCCATTGGGATGTTGTCTGCCCTCTTTTCAAGAGACTGAAGCCTTCAGTTTCCTAGCAGTGTTCTCTTGGATGCAGCTCTTCTTTCTGGTAGAAAGGGGAGACCCAGTCCCAGCTATTTCAAAATTGAGGAAATGCCAAGGAAGTGCCAGGCATGGTAGTGTATGCCAGTAATCTCAGCACTTCAGAAGCTGAGGCAGGAGGATTGCCAGGAGTGTGAGGCCAGCCTACACTACACAGTGAGTTTAAGGCCAGCCTGACCTACATAATGAAGCTCTGTCTCAAAAACAAAACCCAAGTAACCTAGTAGTTACTTTGGGACTATTCTACTTGTGGCAAGGTGGACTGGATTATTTCCCCAAGCAAGAGATGCTTCTAAAGATTGACAGAAGCCTAGGAAAGAAAGCTGGAAAAACCAGATCTTTTTGTGAATCAGAAAAATATTCCCCTTGGGGCCAATGTAACCCTGCAACACATGGCAGGACATGCATGCAGGAACTCTGTGCAAAAAGAGGGCCTCGTCTAGTAAGTGGACAGGCTGGATCTCAGGTGTCTCCTGGGCTGGCCACCACGGTACAAGGAATAAACTCGATGGGCCTGAGTTTCCAGCCTGGGGTAAATCTTCATCCATGGGTGAATGAAAAAAGCCAATGGGTGAATCCAAGTTAGAGAGCTCAGATAGGAGACTGCAAAGAGTAACAACGAGGAAAGGAGAGAGTTCCCACAGGAAAATCAATGAGACAGAATTCTACAGACTGGGAGGCTGAGGACCAAGAATAAGCCTTCATGCTGGGGAACTAGGCCACTGACATTATCATTGATTAGGGAGAGCAGGACCAGTTGGCCACAGGATACCCTATGATAAGAAAGAGATGCTAGAACATTTTTAAATGAAGAAATATAGCTCTGTATTAACTCATGGCTCCTACTCTCTCATCTTCCTCACAGCCCTGAAGCCAGTGGATCTACATGGCACATATCAGGTGGGGCCTCTGATGGCCGTGGACACAGCTCGGGGCATAGTGCTGCACTGGCGGGCCCACAGCTGGCCCCTGCGCACTCTCCGCACACCCGTCGCCTCCCTGCACTCAGTGGTCAGGGAGCTGGCAGGCCTGGCTGGGGGTCCCCACACCGTGGTAGTGCTGGGCTTGGGAGCTCACTTCACCACTTTCCCTCCGTCCATCTTTGCGAGACGCCTGGCAGGGATTCGGACAGCTGTGACAGCCCTGCTGGCCAGGGAACCCAGGACTCTCGTGGTCATCAAATTGGCCAACACTGGCTACAAGTCTGTGTATGGCAGTGACTGGTTCACCCTCCAGATGAACCGGCTCCTTCGAGCTGCCTTTTCTGGTCTCCCTGTGGCCTTTGTGGATGCTTGGGAAATGACCTCCAGCCTGGCCCTGCCAGACAGCATCCACCCGGGGAAACTCATTGTCCGGAATGAGGTGGACCTACTCCTCTCCTTCATCTGTCCCACCTGAGTGCTTCTGTGGGACCTGAGGCTGGGTTAACAATGGGCCTGCGGCCTGGGACATAACTGTGAAGAGAATTATATGAAAGATAAAACTTCTGGGATAAGGGCACATGCCATGAAGTTCTCTCACTGGAAGGCTATAATCTTCCTTACTAGTCCAGCTGATTTTATTCTTGCCTCATGCCAACTTTTTCCACTCAGAAACAGTGATTACTTGAAAAACAAAAGAGACCATGGTGTTATACCCTGCTTGAAAGCCAATGGCTCCCATCTTAATATAAACCTAAACTTACCATAGTCCTCAAGATCCTGCATGAAGGCCCTGCCTAACTCTGCACGCTCATTTCTCACCACTTCCATGGCCCTTTGTAGTTCAACTCTATGAATCTTGCTGGTTAATCAGGTCAAGCTGTCCTGCCTCAAGGGCTTCTGTTATCCCTATGCTTGGAGTGTCCTTCTTCCAGATTCTCTTATGACCAGCTTCCTTCTTTCAATTTCTTAATCAAACATCTTCTCACAGACTTTTCCTGTCTGCCCAAGCTTAAAAAAATCCCCATCTCCTCCTCACCCTCCTCACCGCACATCACTAACTACAACCCATAATTATTTCATAGCCACTATATCATTATTGCTTGTCTGTTTCGGCAGAATGTGATGTCCACAAGGGACAGGAAGTTGATCTAGCTTGCTTAATGTTGTGTCCCATAACCTACCGTAGTGCTTGAGACATTGCAGGTGTTGAATAAATATTCACTGAATGAAGAAAGCGAATGGATTGGTCACGTGACTAAGAGGGTGTGTCCGTGCTGCACCCTGTGAAAAATGGGCAATTGGTTAACTACAGTGCCCCCCTGTGACTGATTACCATCTTTGCATGATTATCACTATTAATATTTTACATTAAGACAGTTTCTATTTTTATTTTGGAAGACCCTCACAGGAACTTTTTTCATTTTACTGAGGACTGCAGAGGATGCATAGAAAGCTGAGCCAATTCTTGGTTCTAACTTGGTTTGCAGGACAGGCAGAGTGATATTAACGATGGCAGTAGCATTCCGTCCTTACTAGAAAAACTACTTCCTGGAAGGGTGGAAGTGACCATCCTTTCCTGCTCTGACTCTGGCTGACGAGGTCCTCTCTGCATCCTGGATGTTCCTCCTTGGAGGGGGCCTCCCTGACATTAGTCCAGTCCACCTCAGGGCTTACCCTTGCAGTGTCAGCTCCTTATCTCAGTCCACTGGTTCCCAGGTGCTGTTCCCACAATTATTTGCCTCTGGCTGAAGGGCTTCCCTGATCACCCGAAAAGGGGCTCCATGACCAGGCACAATCGCATCGGCGGTGCCTAAGATCCTTTTTCGGCTCCGCTCCTGTGCCACCGGGTCTTCGCTCAGCGCCTGCCACGAGTCCTCATCTCCATCGCACTCAAAGACATCACCCGCTACCACCACGGTGCCCAGGGCCGTGCCTGTCACCACCACGCTCACGTCCCGCTGGCCCCCGTGGCCCGGCGTGGCCCACACTTCGAGCCCGGGCCCCAGGCGCAGGGGCTGCTCTTCACTCAGCCCATGTGGCAGGTAGAGGCCCCCGGGAAGGCAGAAGTCGTGCGAGACCAGCAGAGCTGCCCCCGGAAACAGGCCCAGGTTCCCGATATGATCAGAGTGCCCGTGGGTCCCCACCACCAGATTCACGTCTCCCGGGGACAAGCCTTGCCTAGCCAGGGCCCCCAGCAGTGCCTCCCGAGCCCAGGGTCCCCGGGTGTCCACGAGGATGGGGCCATGCGACGCCCTCTCCAAGGCTGTCTTTGCATCACCGCCTGCGGGTAGAGACTTTCGAGGGCTGGACTCTGGGTCCCAAGCCCGGGGCAGGACCAGGGTGACGGAACAGTCAGCGCGCACGGCGTCGCCCACCTTCTCTGGCTCCGAATAGCCTTGCAGCAGAACCACCACGGAGTAGGTGTCGCCCGAAACCAGCAAAGGGACCCCGCTCAGAGGTTCGGTCCGCACTAAGCTGCTCATGGCAGAGAGGGACCCCGCTTGGGAGAGAATGGGCGACTCCCTTCGAGCTCTCATCCCCCTGCGGAAGATGGTATTTCCCTCGTGATCCCGCCCTCCCTCGGCGTTTCCGGCCACTCCTCTCACCCCGCGGCCGCTCGCTGTTGTCGTGGTAGGTAGGTCTTCACTCGTTATCCTCCAAAGGCTATCTTTTTCCTTTACCTCCCACTGACCTAGCCACTTTTCTGCCTTGGATCTAGTTATATCGCCTCACTTAAGTCTCCTCTATTGGGGAAAACATTAATCGGCAAGCGCGTGACAGTTTTGACCTCTGCGAGCTCCCTTAAGCCCAAGTATGGCAGCCGAAGCGGCATAAAATTTGAGCCTTTAGGTCCCGCCCAAACGCAGTCGTCTCTACCCTTCTTCCCCTAGACGCTTCCAGGTTCCTGGGGCTGCAAAATTACCAAGCATATTAGCTTCTGGGATGGGGGCATCCAACAGCCCCACTGTCTGGGCGCTGCCACATCAACCAGCTACAATGTGTGCAAGGATGTTTGAAACGGCCCAGCTGATACCAAAAAAAGTTTAATAGTTATATATAAAATTTGCCACCTGTAAGATTAATATGAAGGAGACAAGTATCTACTCCACCTAATTAAATCAGCACCGTCTCACCCCCATCCAGTGTCCTAGTCTTGTTCCCAGCTTGGTAGTACGCAGCCTCCTGAACACAGGTAGTGTAGATTGGTCGTAGGGAATGTCTGTTCTGTCGTCTTCCTTGTAAGAATCTAAAACCAGATCCCTTCAGAAGCAAAGTGACTTTCCCAAGACCCATAGCTCGTGCCATCGCTGACCTCTGGGGAGCCATAGAGATATTTAAAGAGAAAAGCTTCAAGATTGTCACCACACACACACACTTGCCAATGACTGTGAAGGCAGGACTTCCACCTGCTGCTCCAACCTTTCTCCCCATAGTCAAGCCATCCTTCATTTCCAAGATCTTGCTTGATAGCACATGGAAAAGTATAGTTAGAAGTGCTAGGGTTGGGTCACTCGCACACTAAAACACACCCTGAAAGCTGTAGGGCAGGGACAGCTTGGACTTCAGAGGGCTCTTCTCCATAAACCCCTCCTGGTGGTTCAAAGGCAAGTGTCAAAGATCTTCGGGGTCATGCTTGGAGTGTCTTTCTGTGTTTTTCATCTCCTCTTCCTCTCCTTCTTCTTCCTCCCCTTCCTCTTCTTCTGCTTCTTCCCCTTCTTCCTTCTCTTGACCATCTGTGATCTTCTCCTTTCCAGTCCAAGTTTCCTGTAGACATGCTAGGTGGGGTGAGAAAAAACAATTCGAATTTTGGTTCTGGGGATAGGGAACACTGCAGCCTGGCCCTAGAGGAGCCCAATCCCACACTTACCAGTTTCAGCAGCTGGGAGCACATGACCTTCACAGAGAAAAAGCTGTAGGGGCTGCTCCTGGTGATGGAAGTACCAGTCTCCCACGACATCTTCATACTCCTCCAGCATCGTTTCACACTGGTCAAGTGGAAGAGTGGGCCTAGTATCTGGTTGGATGAACTTTGTAAACCCTCCTCTCCACTCTTGGCTCCCTGTCTCCCTCCTTCACTTGACTGACCTTCGAGAGGCAGGTAGCCAGCTTAAGCTTGGCTTACTAGATGTGTAATCTTCATTCAACAACCTTTACTAGCTCCTGTTCTGCTACGTAGGTTATTAAATTATAAGTCTCAGCTCCTTTCCTATAAAATAGTCCTATAATCACACCTACCATATCAGGTTGTTTCATAAGTCAAATGAGGCAGCAGCTGCAAGGTATGTGGTCCACAATCAGTAGGGACACAGGTGCTCAATAAGCAGTGGTAGATAAGTGTTAGCCTCTGATTTATTCTCTCTCTCTCTCTCTCTCTCTCTCTCTCTTCTTTCTTGGGATTGAAGCCCAGTGAGCTATATCTGCTGCTCTTTTTATTTTTTGTTTTGAGACAGAATTGTAGTCGCTAAGTTGTTGGGGGTAGACTCAAAATGATAATTCTCCTGCCTCAGCCTCCCAGAATTCTGGGATTAAAGGTGTATACCACCATGCTTGAACAAACAGTATTACTTCTTGATGTGCTCTTGGGCCCATTTTAATGGATGGCATAGTCCTCACTCTGCCCCTTCTGCTCAGAGGTGGACATCCCTTACAGTCAAATCCTAGACCTAGCTCCCCACCTCAGGGTCCCTTCTCATCTCCTTGGACACTGTGGTATCTTATCTTACCTGCTTCTTGAGGAATGTGACTTCCACGCTGGGCTCATCCCACAGCTCCAAAGGGATCCCCAGATCCACTTTCACTCCCTTCTGCACCAGGCCTTTCAGCGTTGCCATGGTCTGACTCTGACCCTGAGAGATGGAGAATATGGGATCAGCCCAGTGCAGTACCATCTCTTCCTTCCCTTTTCTACCACATCAGTTTTGTAATCTATTGAAGTCTCAGGAGTGAGTTCAAAAAGGGTGAGATGCAGGAGCCTGAGCATGAGGAGACACTCCAGAGCTGGGGAGAGATGGGCATATAGCCCTTGAGAGCCTCAGGGGATATAGATCTTTGTTTCTGAGAATCAGGGTCCTGCCCTGGAGAAAGAGCTGACCTTGGCATATCTCAGTGACCCCTTGCGCTCCGCATGAACACTATAATCCAGGATCCGCTCACATAAATTCTCCAAGGCCTCTTCCAGCCTTGTCTCTCTGTGGGAAGAGAACAAAGACTTCCTGGATCCTGCAGGGATTCTCAGAATAACTGGGGGCTGGAAGGTAGAGGAGCACCAAAAAGGACTTACGAAACGCTATAAGGCACATGTTTCTTCCTCTTGCCTGTGTCCAGCACCTGCCCCAGCTCCAGTACCTCTCGAGATCGGCCAGTGTGACTCAGCTTCTCCTGTAACTCCATGCTCAGTAGCTTACACACTGATAATGAGGAAAGACGTTCAAGGGAATGTGAAAGATAAGTGAACCTATCAGCAATTCTGCAGAGGACCAAAGGCAGCAAGAGTGCTGGGTTGAAATCTAACTTAGTCTCTTAGTAGCTGTGTGACAATCTTGATGTGCTTCATTTCTTCACCTCTAAAATGGGGATAATACTATGATCCTCATAAAGGTATATAGACAGGATAAAATGAGGATATGAGTGTTTGCTGTAATGCTGAAATTATTTGTTGAGCTCCTTCTATATGGTAACAATATAGAGAACAGTAAGACCCATGGCCAGGCGTTGTGACACACACCTCTAATCCCAGCACTTAGGAGTATGAGGCAGGAGGATCTCACAAATTGGAGGCTACTCGCCAGGTGTGGTGGTGCACGCCTGTAATCCCATCACTCAGGAGGCTGAGGCAGGAGGATCACTGTGAGTTTGAGACCAGCCTGGGCTACACAGTGAATTTCAGGTCAGTCTCAACTACATAGTGAAACCCTGTCTCAAAAAAAACAAAAACAACAAAACAAGTTGGAGGCTAGTCTGGGCTACATAGTTCAAGGCCAGCCTGAACTACATGGTGAGACCCTGTCTCAACGTCCCCCGCAAAACATCCATGATCTTTGTCCATGGGAATTTTGCCAGTATAGTTGGAGATGAATAAACATAACACTGTGGTGTGATGGACCCTACACCAGGGGCTAAAACCAAGAAACTTAATCTGATTAGGAAATGTAAAATTCATTCAAAGGTCACTTACTGTCTTCCCACTAGACTTGGATTTCTACAAGGGTGAGTGAACATCACGTCTGCTTGTTACTGTTTTCATCACCTAGAATGTGATCTGGCACTTAGTGGGTCTCAAGAAATGCCCCATAGAGAAGTAACAAGTAAACTAAACAAAAGTACAACTGACCAAAGTGCTTAAATGTGCCAGACACTGTGCTAAGACCTGAGATACACAGGTACTTCCTTTCCTTCAGGAGCTTATGGTATAGCAGGAAGTGATAAGGAAGGAGGCTTCCAAAGGAGGAGGCATTTAAACTGGGTGTTGAGGAATGGTTATTATAGTGTTACTTCAGACAACAGGGAAAACAGCAGAGGCACACAGTTGGAACAGGATAAAGGATGCTCATGATCATGAGATGCTCAGTGTTGCCTAAAGCATGGATACTTTGGGGGGTGGGAAAGGAGTATGAAAATGTGAGAAAGTCTGGGGCTGTACAACGGAGATTTGTGTGTATTCTGATCACAGTTGAAGTTTGCATAGGTGATAAAAGCAAGAAATGCCAGGATCCCATCTGAGTTTAGAAAGATTGATGGGAGGCAAGAGAATAGGGATGCAGAAATAAAAGAAGGTGAGATGTTAGGACCAAGTTGATAAGGACAGTGATACTGAAATGCCATCGAATGTGAGGCGAAGAGAAAAAGAATCTCAGAAAGAAAAAGTCAGGTCAGGGAGTCAACAAACTAGGGCCAGGGCACTCAGCCAGCAGACTCCGAAGTTTCCCTTCCCAGAGGTATCCCACACTAACGCAGTCAGGGAAGATGCTGATGGGAGTAAAATCCTTGAGTACACACTGCAAAGCCTCACGCTCATGTGAAACCTAGTTGTGTGGCCTCCCCATCTAGTGTTTATGAGCTTCGAGGACTTACTCATCCTCAAACACCCTCAGGGTGGGATGGGGTCTGTAATTTGGCAGCGTCTCTGCCAGGGCGGGGCAGGGGGTGTCTATAAGAAATGAGCCTCGCCGGGCGTGGTGATGCACACCTGTGATCCCAGCACTGGGGAGGCTGAGGCAGGAGGATCACTGTGAGGTCGAGACCAGCCTGGGCTACATAATGAGTTCCAGGTCAGTCTCAACTTCATAGTGAGACCCTGTCTCGACCCCCCCACACACAAAAAAAAGAAAAGAAGGAAACGAGCCTCACATCTACCCCCTGCAAGATCTCCAGATTTAGATCTGGTAGGTGACAAGGAGGAAACATCAAATACCGATGCTCGGTAGAGTCGGCGGTTCAGGGCAGATTCCCGAACTACAATTCTCACACTACACTGGGGCCCAAGCTTGCAAGAAAAAGCAGGCTCCTTCAGGATGGCTCATGGGAAACGTAATGCCACAGTTTGGGGGCGGCACTACGCATGCCTCCCTTGATCCCACTCAAGTTCGACCAAGCTCCACCTGAACCTTGTTCAGGACGTCAAAATAGAGTGACCCACCCATCATAGTAATAAACGAAGAAAGTGGGGCCAACAGATGCAGATAAGAACTCCCGTTTGATACCTTCGCATTTGCTGGGCAAGCGTTCTGTGTCATCGTCCTCCTCTTGCGACGTTCCAGCCCAAGCACTATACACTGCCACAACGAATAACAATATTACCAACCGTACGGGTCCCATGACAAAGCGTCGTCCACAACCACAGTTTGACTTCAAACCAACTTCGGGGAGGGGGCGGGCCCTTTAAATTCGGGGGCGGTAGGCGGTAACATTAAAAAAAAAAAAAAATCCTGTCTGGCCTGGTCAGCGCAGGCGCAGAACCAGCCCGAAAGGGGTGGGGCCTCGGCATTGTAAGGTTCTCCGCCTCTGTTTTGTGGCGCCTCTTGAAGGTCCTGGCTGCTGGGTGGAGGAGGAATAAATCGAAGTAATTAAAATAGGAGCATGTGTTTCTTACACTTATATATAAAAACACATTTTTGTATTATTCCAGGCTTTGAGTCTAGACGGCTTATTGTGGCTTGGGGAAGGGGTGGTGATCTCTCAGTCTCTGCCAAGACCTACAACAAGAAGGGGGCGGGGCCAAGATGGCGCCGAGCGCCGGGTGAGCCGTGCTTTGGCAGTGGTGAGAGGCTCTTACTGCCCCTAACGCTGGGCTGGCTGGGGCGGATCTGAAGGGTACCTGGGAGGAGACCCTTTGAGGGACCTTTGTGGGGATTGGGAAGAAGATGGTTGGTTGTGTGTCTGCTCGTGGAGACTCTGTGCGTTGCAAGGATGTCGGGGGTGATGGGGTGGGTTCTCTGGGCTTCCTTTGCGCTGCCTGGGGATCTCCGACCCGGTTCTTTGCTGGGAAACCACTGCAGAGTCTACCTCAAGTTAGCTCCGCTCTGAGATGCCCTTCTGCCGTCTCCGCTGACCTGAGACTCTACTGAAGCTGTAGGATGTTTTATGTGCCCTTACTGTCAGAGGGTACCGCAGAGTATTGACAGATTTGTAGGAGTTCACCAGGGAACTGGGACATGGTTACTTGTGTACCTGGCACCAGACGCAGAGTATGTGTTGAATAATTGTGCCCCTTAGAAGTAAGACTTATAAAAGTCTGCAGGGACCTGGGACGGTTTGAAAAGTACAGAATTCTCCTTCAGCACTCAGTTCTAAACACGTGAGGTTAATCTTCCAAAAGCCCAACTATCCATCTGAGATTCTTGAACTGTATGATCTACAGAGAAGGTGGAATTAATGGATAACAAGATTGCAGGATAAAGACTTGTATTTATTATGTTCAATAAATCAATTATTTTGGTTAAAAAAAATCTTCGTAAAGCCCAGCTCCTAACTCATTTTGACTCCATTGTAAAGTTAGGTTTGTGTCTCACCATGATAATCGTGATAGCCAGTATTTATTGAGCACCTACATCTCTAAGCCTTGCAATTCATCCAGTTGTTCAACAAGTATTTATTTACAGTGTCTCAGGCACTAGCCTGGGACCCCAGAATACATCCATGAACATATTAAAGATCCCTGTCCACATCCTGGGTGAGGCTGATAATCAGGAATGATACAGTGTGTTAGGAGACGTTAAATGCTATATAAAAGAAAAAGCAGAATGAGGGCAGAATAGGGAATTAAAATAGCATAGTCAGGGTAGCCAAACAGACATCTGACATCTGGGGAAAACACAAAGCAGAAACTATGAAGCTAAAACGTGTCTGGCAGATTTAAAAACCAGCAAGGAAGATGATAGGGTTGGACAAAATACAAGAAGAAAAGACAAAAGATCACAGAGGTAATGGGAAGAAGGCAAATCCTGAAGGACATTGTAGGCCACTGTAAGGGTTCTTACTTGTAAATGGGGAACTGTTACAGCAGAGAGATGAAAGTCTGGTTTATATTTTTTTAAAATTGAGTATTGGTACATTTTAGGTATACAGTACAGTTACATTCATTATTGGGATCTTGTACCTTTACATGGCAGGTCTTGGTTCTCATTGTTTCCCTTGTCCCTGCCCTCCCTTCACTCCCTCCTTCCCTCCCCATTTACAAACACTTTATTTCCATCTTTTCATTTTCTCACATTTTTTCTTTTGGTTTACATTTTGACAATCATTTTGGCTGTTTGTAAAGAATAGATGTAGAGGGCTGGAGATTTAGCTCAGTGGTTCCACCGCCTGCCTTGCAAGCACAAAGACTAGAGTTCAATCCCCAGTACCAAAACAAACAAACAAAAAAAACACGTAGGGAGGCTGAGGTAAGAGCAGAAAGAGCTTGTCCATTCTGTAGGAGTTAATGATGGTAATTTGGGCTAACAAGTGGAATAGAGGAATCTGGTTGTATTGTCTGGTGTATTTAATGTGAGGGAGGGCCCAGATGAGCCAATTAGTACTGCTCTGCTAGGAAAATGAAGGAAGCCGAGGCTGGAGCAGGTGGGTGGGGTGGGGGATCAGAAATTCAATTTTGGTAGGGATTTTGAGTTGTGTTTCTTTTTAATCTGTTCTGCCTGCCAGAGTCTCCATCACTCCACCCTGGGGCTGCATCCTTCCAGGGAGGGGAGGAGGCACTCCAGCATGGCTGAGGAGAAGAAGCTGAAGCTCAGCAATACTGTGCTTCCTTCTGAGTCCATGAAGGTCGTGGCTGAATCAATGGGCATCGCTCAGATTCAGGAAGAAACCTGCCAGCTGCTGACAGATGAGGTCAGCTACCGAATCAAAGAGATTGCACAGGTAATCAGGCCCTTCTGCCCAGCCTTGCTTTGTGTTGAGGATATTACCCAGGCTGTCTTCTTCCTCATCTTAGACTGATGACTGATGTCTTTTCTCCTGTCCCCCTGCCTCTAGGATGCTCTCAAGTTCATGCACATGGGGAAGCGACAGAAGCTCACCACCAGTGATATTGACTATGCACTGAAACTGAAGAATGTTGAGGTGATTGGGAGAGAAAGGAAGGAGGCAGGAGGACCAAGATGGGAGCAGGATGACGAGAAGCCATCCTCCCAGATGCTGCATTTGCCTTTTGCCAGGCTCCCTTCTCACACCAACATCTCTTTCCCTCCCGATACAGCCACTCTATGGCTTCCATGCTCAGGAATTCATTCCTTTCCGTTTTGCATCTGGTGGGGGCCGAGAGCTCTACTTCTATGAGGAGAAGGAGGTTGATCTAAGTGACATCATCAATACCCCTCTGCCTCGGGTACCTCTGGATGTCTGCCTCAAAGGTCAGTGGGTGGGGCGTGGCCGGGGTGCCAGGGAGGAGAAAAAGGAGTGAGGTGTGTTGGTATGAGGAACCTCACAAATGAAGGAGCTCTCAGAGTGGGATCCCAGGTGGATGGCATAAATGGGAGCAGGAACCAGAACACACCTACCTTAGTGTGGAGTGACTTCCTTGTGTCCACGTCCAGCAGTCTACCTCAGCAGCTTCCTTTCTCACAGCTCATTGGCTGAGCATCGAAGGCTGCCAGCCAGCTATACCAGAGAATCCGCCCCCAGGTAAACCTCTCCATTCCTAGAGCCCACTCCCTTCTCTCCCTCCTTGCCTTGTTCCTTTACATCTTCCCCCACTCTCATCACTCCTCCTGCTGTGACTGGTTTCCCATTAGCTCCCAAAGAACAGCAGAAGGCCGAGGCCACAGAACCCCTGAAGTCCGCAAAGCCAGGCCAGGAGGAAGATGGACCCCTGAAAGGCAAAGGTCAAGGGGCCACCCCAGCTGACGGCAAAGGTCAGTTCTCTAGGCCAGGCCGCTCCCAACTCTTATTCCAGACCAGGTGGTCATTTGTGAAGTGGGAGAGGTCGGGCCCAGAGGGTCCCAGAAAGGCTCAGGAAACCTAAAGGAAGCTGGTGGGTGGGGGTGGGGAAGTGGCAGGTTCAAGTTTGTCTGATACTGAGACCTTTTTTGGAGCCTTCTTTTTTTACCCATCTCAATTCACACAGGGAAAGAGAAGAAGGCACCACCTTTGCTGGAGGGGGCCTCTTTGCGCCTGAAACCTCGCAGCATCCACGAGCTCTCTGTGGAGCAGCAGCTATACTACAAGGAGATCACTGAAGCCTGTGTGGGTTCCTGTGAGGCCAAGAGAGCGGTGAGGGCCACATGCCCATCCTCACCCTGAGACTCCTTTTGCAGCCCTTGCAGAGTGTGCCCCACAATATCTGCCCTGACCTCACTTGCTTCCCTTCTGCAGGAAGCTCTGCAGAGCATTGCCACGGACCCAGGGCTCTATCAGATGCTGCCACGGTTCAGTACCTTCATCTCAGAGGGGGTGAGTGTGCTGGGAAAGCCAGGCCCAGGACAAGGCTGGGGAAGGGGTGGCAGGGAAGGAGATCTGAGGAGTCTCCCTGCCTGGCTCTCCCCTCCTGCAGGTCCGAGTCAATGTGGTTCAGAATAACCTGGCCCTGCTCATCTATCTGATGCGCATGGTGAAGGCACTGATGGACAACCCTACATTGTATCTAGAAAAATATGTGCGTGATCCTGCCCGCCCTCCTCACTGCCATCCCCAGGAAGCCATTTGTCAGGATCCACTGACCTGCTACTTCTCCTATAGGTGCATGAGCTGATTCCAGCCGTGATGACCTGCATTGTAAGCAGACAGCTGTGCCTGCGACCTGATGTGGACAATCACTGGGCGCTCCGGGACTTTGCCGCCCGCCTAGTGGCCCAGATCTGCAAGCATTTCAGCACAACCACAAACAACATCCAGTCCCGGATCACAAAGACCTTCACTAAGGTGAGCCCTGAGAACTTGTTTCCTGTCACCACCGCATCCTGGCTGTCACTAGGATGACAAGTGCTTCACCCAAACCAGTGGTAGGGCAGTTGTGCCTGGGGAAATGACACCTGAAACAAGAGGCCGGGCAACTAGAACTGATGGGAGGTTGGTCTAAGGGTCTTAAGCCTCATCTGCAACATTTTAATTAAGTTTATTTCTAGAAGACCTGGGTCCACTCATCTGGGTTTCTTTTTGGCCTTCAGACCCACTCATCTGGGTTTCTTTTCTTTCCCTGCAGAGCTGGGTGGACGAGAAGACTCCCTGGACAACTCGTTATGGCTCCATTGCAGGCCTGGCAGAGCTGGGACATGATGTTAGGCCCCCGAGGGGGGAAACAGCTGGGTGAAGGGAGGCAGTCTTGAGGCTAGAGGGCAACTGCTACCCACCTGAGCGACCCCAAATTACCCCATGGCCATGGCTTGTCTCCTTCCTTCCCAACAGGTGATTAAGACCCTGATTCTGCCACGGCTGCAGCAGGAGGGAGAGCGGATCCGCAGCGTCCTGGATGGTCCAGTGCTGAGCAACATCGACCGCATTGGAGCTGACCATGTGCAGAGCCTCCTTCTGGTGACCAAAGCCCCCGCCCTGCCCTCTGTCCTACTTCTTC